ACTTTGGTCTATTCTGCCACATTCTTCTCTTATCAGAATATGAATCTAGGTAGCCAGCTAAATGATTGTAGCAGGTGGTTCTATTTTTCTATATAGATGTTTCCATAGAGATATGGATCTTAAGTGTTCCTCTATGAATATTTTTTTGAAAGAAGTTCCTCTATGAATATAAATCCCTACCAAACGTATTATAATCAAAAGAAAGAAAAGAAGTTTTAGCTATATTGGTTGCCTATTTGGACAAAGCATGCTTCGATATCAGATCCACTAAAAGAGCCCAAGGATATTGTTTCTTTCATTTATGCATTGTAGTATCTTGATGAAAAAAGTAGTTAATCATTGTATGTCCATTTGGATTTCAATGTAGTGTCAAAGCTTACCTCCAAGTTACTAGTGAGTTAACTATGGGCAACAACCAAATACTCCACCACTTTTCTGCCATATGAACCAAAAGTGGGGAGTGCTCGTTTCACCTTTCAAACATTGTCACACTTTTTAGAAATATTTGCTCTATAACATGTACTAAAAGATCGTATCTTTTGAGGAAAAAATATCCCACCACTTTCCTCTTGCTTTGTGCCTAGGCCAGCAATGCCACGGGGGGCGGTGGCTAGTTGTGCAAAGTCAAGCAAGAGTGGTAGGCAAAATCAGGCATGGGCGGGTAGACCTCGATACGAACGACCATGGCGTGGAGCAGGGAAGGGGTTGCTGTGGTGAGCAATGCCGGGGCGAGGAGGATATGCCAAGCAGAGTGGCATGGTCGGGCTGACCCGAGTAGAGCAGCACGCATAGCTAGGTGGTGGTTGGGCATGAAGAGAGATGGTGACCTGGTCTGCTACGAATTCTCTGCCGCTCCATGGGAAAGAGCAAAGAGAAAGAAGTAGAAAACATGGCTGACATCTAGTTCCCACTCTAACCATTGCTAACGAATCCAAAAAAAGTAGTCCATCCTCTCCATATCCATCTCTTCTACCAAACACAAAATTACAAAGCAATGATGAACCCTCATACCAAACAAGAGATTGAATCATTCAATTTTAGAAAACTAGAATGGAACATTTGTCCTACATACCTCATCCCTAAACCACACAAGTCACGTGGGCTTCAAGCTGCTATTACTATTAGACATGTCTATAACAAAAAAACATAGTGCATTGTGAGACACAAGACTGTATGGTAAAAGAGAATATAGATCAAACTATCGTAATATTTATGTTTTAGGTATACGAGTTAGTTTAGACACAAAATTTTAGTTATTTTCTTAAACCAACATATGAGAGTTAACCTCTTCTACATGTCTTTTTGAGCGGTCCTTTGTGCATTTGTTGTTTAATGACATGGTTGACGACATAACCTTAATTGTCACCTAGCTCCTTAGCTATAGGTGTGTCGGGGACCTAATACCGGGGTACCCCAGAAGGTGGAACCAATAACCACCGAACGTTAAAAATTTCTGGACGCATAAGAGCGTTGCTTCACCCCTCACTGGAATGACAGAAGCTTGGTTCCACCTCGCCCGACGCCTTTGGGATGGGCTCGGTCTCGCTCGAGGGCCGAGGATTAGTCTCCGTCTCGCCCGACGCCTTTTGGACGGGCTCGATCTCGTTCGAAGGTCGAGGGATAAACCCCGACTTGCCCGACGCCTTTGATGGGGCTCACGCCTGCCCGAGGGCACAGGGGCTAGTCTCCGTCTCGCCCGGCGCCTTTTAGGGCGGGCTCGGTCTCGCCCGAGGGCCGAGGATAGATTCCGCCTCGCCCGAGCCGGGAGGAGCAGGGTCGGTCTCGCTCAGAGATAGGGATTGGTCTCCGCCACCGACGACAAGGAACAAGCCTCACTCTGCTCCATATCTAAAGATTGGATTCATCTTACGACCACTTTTCCCTGTTCCCTCAAGATGATAGAGACAGGCAAAGACAAGACGTTGTGTCAACCAAGGGCTCCAAGAACCATACCACCTTGGCTTGGCGGAAAAAATTACTGCCGAGGATGATGGGATGAGCGCTTTAGGCCCTTCCAGCGCCGCAGAGCCGAAGGGTGTTACAAAGTGCGTGCTCCACCTCAGAGTTGTAGCCGCCAGCCTTTCTCAGGACACGGAACCCGATGACGAAGATATATGACAACCGCTACGCTCCGAAAAAGGATTTGCTATCTCCACAAACGAGCGGATATTCCGTCACCACACTATGGACCCAAGGGAGCGCGCGCCGCTTCCCGACCCTCTCAGTCCACCAAGACAGAAGACCTTGGCCACGGCGCTACTCAGACCCGACCCAGCGTCCTCTCGATTTAAAACTCATAGGAACGTAAGGCGTGCGAGCAAGGTCAGGGAGCTCAAAAGTCAAAACCATCAGATCATGGCCCATACCCTACGCAGGGTAGCATTCTCAGAACCAACTGACATTCTACTGAGAGACATCGGATGATGTGTAGGCGCTTATCTTCCTTCGCACTCATCAGAATGAACAACCAGGCCGGGTAGACGTGAGCCACAAGACTAAGTAGAGTACGTATCCTAATGCCCTCACCCTTGTAAAGCCAGCCCCTTCATCTATAAAAGGGGGAGAAGAAGAAAAGATCGAAAAGGATACAACTCACAGATACACACAGTCAAGTGGTGTCGAACCTCTTGACATTCCTTCAACCCTTCCATCAGAGACTTGGGACCAGTCCCTCTCTCGATCGTTTGTACCCCTTACTACAAACCGTTCACGGTGCTAATAACACGAGCAGCAACAAACTAGACGTAGGGACTTTTGGCCCGAACCAGTATAAATCTTGTGTCCTTTAGCGCACCATCCGAGCCTAACGCGCATTACTATAAATTTACTTGCCGGTGCTTGTACGAAACACCGACAAGGTGGTTGCTATATACATTATCGTCATCTAAACTGTTGCATAAGGGTCGCTGATGTTCTTTTTATCTTATGATATTCTATTATTCATTACTAGCAAACACTTAACTGCAAAATGATAAACTTTATAGCATGTGTTTTAACAAAAATGAATTTGATTTTAATAATTAAATTCAATTTTAAATGTATATGGCTAGTTAACAAGGACGGATGGAGTCAAACATCTTCAGCAAATCCGTGATTGAGTTCAAAATGAAATTTCTCTCTCTTAAACAAAAGAAATATGATCAACTACTACTTGGAGGTAATTGGAGTTTTTTTATGTCTCAACTCTTTAAGTACAAGCTGTTGCCCTGTTCGTTTGGCTGATAAGCCATGGCTAAAAATACTGTTAGTTGATTTGTTGTGAGAGAAAAATACTGTTCGTTGTTTGAAAAAGTACGACAAACGAACATGGCGTGTAGTATCAGAACTTATACACCAACTCACACCACCACACGCATATACTTACACACATCTCCTAGTGCATAAGCCAGACATAGGCCTATGGGAAAATACTGCACGTGGCGGTATCCGATGAAGTTAATTGGAGTTAACCTCGGGATTCACCTCCATTCCCCCGGTTGTAAAAGTCAGTATCATTCAGCAGACATCCCACGCTAGACGCCATCGCCACGCCAACGCCACTTCGCCACAGCATCAGCTTGATCGTAGGGCCCACCACAGCCATTCACAGTGTGCACAACTGGATTCAAATTTCGTCGTCTCACCCCCTTCTCCTTGGAGGCTTTTACATGTATGCCATTAAAAAAGTTTGTAATTACACACAAGCCATTAAAAAAATTGACCGTACACGAGTGCCATCGTTATGAACTTCTTTGCTCTCCAAGCCATTCTGTCGGTGTTCTGTTCGTTTTTCACCGTTTGGGAGTCCTGACAAGTGGGTCAGGTCAGTCAAAACGTCCATAATACCCCTCTCATCCCTATCCTCTCTCTCAAAAACTCTCTCTCTCTCAAACTCGATCTCTCTTCTCGTGCTTGTGGCCGGGGCGGAGCTCCCCTGCGTGCCTTAGAGGTGGGCGGCCATGGGATCAGCGGCAGCGCCGAGGCGGTCACCGTGGCCATGAGCTCATGCTGCTAGCCTGGATAAGGTGGCGTGGTGGTCGGAGTGGGCTTGCCCCGTCTGTTGCCCCCGAGGGATGGCCGCGGCCAGAGCAGCCACCATCAACAGCACCACCATCTCCTTCTTCTTGGCAGCCGACGCGGAGGCGCGCTTGCACCTCGCCCGGCGCGCAGCAGAAGTGGCGACACAACACAGCAGCGAAAGCACGCCTTTACTGGCTGCGCGAAAGCACGAAAGCAATGATGGAGGGATGGCGGCCATGAGCTCGAGCGAGCTCTCACCGAAGCGGGCTCTGCTGCCGCAAGCGCGAGCGAGGAAGCCGGCGTGGACAAGGACGCCATTGCCGGGGGATGGCGGCCATGAGCTCGAGCGGCGAGGCGAAAGCGTGGACGCCGCCGCCGCCGCCGGAGGGATAAGCGGCCATGCGAAGCAGCGAGGCCGGGGTGGACGACGCCCACCGCCGACGGAGGGATGGCGGCGCGAAGCTCTGCCGAGCGGGCTCGCTACATTGCAGCGCGAAAGGCTGAAGCTCACCGGGCGCGGACGCGAAGCGCGAAGCGTGAGCTTCTGCCAGCGCGGGTCTGAGCTCCGCTCGGCCTCGGACGCTGAGCGCGAAAGGTGTGGACTAAAGAAGCAAGAGGATAGGACGAGAGAAGGGTATTTTTGACCTTTATACTGACCGAGCCCACATGTAACGATGAAAAATAAACAGAACGCCGACGGATTGGCTTAGAAAGCAAAGAAGTTCAGAACGGTGGTATCGTGTTAAGTTAATTTTTTTAATAGCTTAGGTGTAAATAAGTTTTTTTTATGGCATGTAAAAGCCTCTTCTCCTTGCCACCGACGGGCGACGGCGACCGCCCCCCACTCCTCTCCTCCCCGTCCGCCTTCACTGTGGTCACCTGAGATCCGGGTTTCCTTCTCCTTGTAAACCATAATCTCACCACACCTCGCGCCCAATCGGACGCAAACACTCCTGGTCCAATCCCCTCGAGCGGAGCAGATTTGGATCCGGCTCGGCGAGATGGATCCCGAGGACACCACCCCGCCGGCGCCGAGCCAAGGGGATGCGGAGACAACTCCGCCGCCGGTGCTGGAAGTGGCGGCGGGGGAAGACAGCCTAGCTAGCGGGGGCGAGGAGGCCGAGCGGGCCCACGAGGAGAAAGAGGAGCTCGCGCGGGAGGTCATGGAGCTCGGCCTCCAGAACGAGTACCTTAGGTCCCAGATTACTGGGGCCCGGCCGGTGGGTGACGCGGACGAGGGACCGGAGCTCGCTAGGGGCTTGAAGGAGCAGGTGGAGAGGCTGAGCAGGGAGGTGCAGGAGCAGCGGCTGACGCGGGAGGCCACGGAGAAGGCCCTGGAGCACGTCAACGTGGCCTACGCCGAGGCCGACGGCAAGGTGCAGGAGCTCACCGCCAAGCTCGCACAAGGTTAGCCGCCATTGCTCCTGAGGCTCCGAAGATGAATTGTACTTTTTCTGAGCTTATTGTTATGTTTTGTCCCTACTTTCCTTGCTAGTTTGCCACATTGTGAGTAAGAACCTGTCCTTGCGTGTTGTCAGTGAAAAGCTGAAAACCCAACAAACAACTGAATTTTTCCCTGCACTTATCAGCTTACCCCAACTTGCTTGAACTTCTTCTTGTTATGGAAACTCTGTAAATTCTCAAATGTTTTAAAAGGTGCTCCGGATGTCTCAATGGGCCTGCTCGGCTGCCATTTTCTACAGCCATTTGGGCTGCAGCTGCAAGCTAGTTAGCTTATGGCACTGTAGAGGTGTTGTTGGGCTCCTGCAGCTGCAGCACAGCCACATTCATCTCTTCCGATCACATAGGATCCTTTGTTGTTGGCGACACTGAATATTTGTTGGATGTAATAGCCACATAGGATCCTTTTTGTTGTTGGCGACTTGAAGTAGTTGATTAGGGTTTCAAAGTTACTTTTACTTTTCTAGGCTAGAATACAATCAATGTTGATCTTTAATATCTACCATGATTATAATGGCTGCAATGGCATAATAGATTAAGGATTAAGCTTCTGTGATATGACTCATGGCCTATGAATGCATTGTTATAATTTTGAGCCAATCACATGCTAATGCGTGCATGATAGAGAAGAGGGAGACCTCTGGGCATCAATGTTGACCTGTAATGTCTGCCATGATTATAATGACTGCAATTTCATAATGGATTAAGGATTAAGCTTCTGTGCTATGACTCATGGACTATGGATGTATTGTTATAAATTGACCCAGTCACATGCTAATGTGTGTGTGATAGAGAAGAGGGAGCCCTCTGGGCATATGCAAGGAAAAGGTGGTCATGTTCTGTAGTTCATTACAACTCTTCATCATGTTGGTTATTTGCTAAAAGGGTTTAAAACTGAGAAAATTGTAATTGTAAGGCGACTGTGAGTACATTATCACTTTGCAGTTTTGTTGTGCTTCATTACACCTAGATCTGCCAACGGATAGTGGTACAATGCATTAACTACTAAAGTGACATTTAGATCTTCATTCAAGAGGATAAACCTCTGTTTAGGTTCCGGTTACACTTAATTTTTTGAATTTTACTCTGGAATTGCTGTATCTTAGCTTGATCAGAGTACAGCTTGCTATATCATTATAATCTGTAATACAACCTAGTCCTTGCTGCCCCCCTTTTTTTTGGTTTCAGAATCTAATTCATCATTAGTTCCATGCATGTAGCTGAACAAAAAATGGAAAAGGAACTAAAAGAATGCGGCGACAAATATGTTGAGCTGGATACCAAGTTTCAGAGGCTTCACAAGCGTGCAAAACAACGTATACAAGATATACAAAAGGTAAGAAGTAACCAATTTTTGATCTGTCCTATCTTCACCTTAGCTTGAAAATAGTAGATCTTTTACTTCACTGCCTCAGTCTCTCCCTAAATATGGAATTTTTCAGCTGTCCTATGTGCACATTAGTTTGACAATAAACTAGTACAATTTGATTCAACGATTGTTGTGGTGTAATTGACTCTTTGCTGCCTGTTTCTCATGTTTCGTGAATATACTGAATTATTGAAACAAGAAGTTGATCTTTAGTGTTTTTTCCTACACATTTACAGGAAAAAGATGACCTGGAAGCTCGGTTTAATGAAGTTAATCAGAAGGCTGAGCAGGCTGCTTCTCTGCAATTAGCAGCACAGCAGGAACTGGAACGTGCTCGTCAGCAGGCTAGTGAGGCCTTAAGGTCAATGGATGCTGAAAGGCAGCAGTTGCGGACAGTGAACAGCAAGTGAGTGACTTTATTAATCTCACTGTACAATGTATGTGTCATCTTTTAACATTGTGCAAATATAGCACTAGGCCTGTCGTTTCTCTCCTTGCTTGGGGTGGGTGAAACTGAGTGGTATAGTTATGTGAAACCTGAATATGTTGAAGTGCAGCTCCTCCATTATTGTTATAACCCTATATCTTATCATACAATGCACGACTGCACGTATCATCTCTTAACATCGTGCAATAGCACTAGGTTTTCGTTTCTCTCCTTTCTTGGGGCGGGTGGAACTGTATAGTTATATGAATCCTGACTACGTTGAACTGCAGCTCCTCCATTATAGTTATAATCCTATATTTATATCTGTAGGCTGTAGCTCCTCCGTTGCTGATGTAAATAACATCTTCAGTCCTTTCCTGAAGATTTCCACAAATGACATGTTTATTTTCACATAATATACATCTTAAAGTGAATGCGAACCATGTGTAGGTTGAGGGCTAACCTCGATGAGACACGTCTTGCCTTGGAGGCCAGAAACAATTCTCTTGAGAAACTGCAACAATCAGTGCTTGAGAAAGAGCAGGTATGTAAATGTAATGTTTCTTGCCAATTTTTTTTTGGTTTGGTGATCTTTAATAGTAGAAATGCATGGCCTAAAATTAGATATTAAGGTGTTCAATGTTCAAAAAGGTGCTCGCCTCGGCGCGCTTCCGCGCTAGGCGGAGGGGTGCCGCCTCGCCTAAGGGGGTAGGCGGAAGATAGGCGGCCTGACCGCAGATCCAGAGCGGCAGAGGTGTTGAGCGCGGCCGGGAGGAGGCGAGAGGAGGCGGGATGTTGAGGCGGCGCGCCAGCCATGGCGGCGGAGGAGGCGAGAAGCGTGGATCAGGCGGGCGGGTGCGAGTGGCGCGGAGGAGGGGACGAGGCAAAGAAGCAGCGGATGATGAGGGAGAGAGGCGGGATGGAGGCGGCGGCATTTGGCGCACTGTGGCTAGTCATGCGGGTGAATGGATGAAGACGAAGGGATAAGGTGGGAGGTGAGGTTAGAGATAAGGCTTGTTTGCTTTCGAGATATGGGCTTGGGGCTTTTTGGGCCTTCCTATACAACTCTTGGCCCACCAAAGTGTCCTGCTTCTTCTTTTCTTTCGGACTTTCGGAGGTAAATATGAATGGATATTGAACGCCTAGAAAAACGCCTAGGCCCGCTTAGGCTCGCCTAGGCTCTAGGCTATGGGTCATCGCCTAGAAATTGCCTAGCGCCTTTTTGAACTTTGAAGGTGTTGCAGGGCACATGGTTGAATTCTAAAAGTTCTTTTATTAGCTTAAGGCTAGTGCCAAGATATTCTATCTGGTGCTTATATGGAAGGAGGAATGGGACATAGTTCCAGCCAGCTAGCATTAGGATGACATTGACTGGGTGAATACAACAACAACAACAACGTCTTTCAGTCCCAAGCAAGTTGGGGTAGGCTAGAGTTGAAACCCACCAAGAGCCCCAAGTCACTGTTCAGGCACTTCAATAGCTGCTTTCCAAGTACTCCTATTCAAACATAGATCTCTAGGTATATCCCAAGCTTTCAAATCTCTTTTTATTGCCTCCCCCCATGTCAATTTCGGTCTTCCTCTACCTCTCCTATTGACTGGGTGAATGCAGTTACTTATTTCTAAGATGTTGGTTTAGGTATCTATGTATCCATCTGTTAGAATTAATTGCTATTTAGTGTAATCACCTAGTTACTTGTGTAATCTAGCTTCCTGTGCCTGGTTAATACCAAGCTGGCCCCTTGGGTCTCGGTTTGACTCTTGGGGACTCGGCTGACCCCTTGGGCCATCCTCCTCTTCTCTATATATGTAATCCTCCTGTAATCTCCATCATTAAGCAATCTAAGCCTGTTAGGCTATTGTCTATCATGGTATCAGACTAATCCCGATCCATCCGCTTCCGCTACCTTCCTCCTCCTCCTTGCGCTGCCCGCCACACCGCTTGCGATTCTTCTCTCTCTCACGCTCACGCTTCTTGCCCATTGCATTGCACAAGGTCCATGGTCGCCATCGGGCTCCTCTCTGCATGATTCTTGTGCGGCAAAAGCTTCCGCGATGAAGCCCTCTCGGCGGCCAAGCGCTTGGAAGACGAGGCCTCCTCCCTACGCTCAACCAACTCCGAGCGCAGCCAGCAGCTCGAGGAGGCGGCCACCATCCTCAAATCCGCCACCCGACGCCCAGAGCGCGCTCACACGCCGTCGACGCCTCTGACAAGGAAGCGCATGCGGCGGCGACGCTCTCGAAGCAGCAAGCCGCGGCCCTCCGGACTCGAGTCCGCACCGAGTTCCCGGACGACGACGCCGACGCCGAGGACACCTACTCTGCTTCCTCTGAAACCGAGGCCGTCGCGCCCCCTCCCAAGCGAAGGGTAATGCAGTCCGAAACATCAAGAACTTAATTCCTATCGTTCTTGATCTTCAAGCCTCCAACTACTCCAAGTGGCGTGGCTATGTTCTCCTCATCCTCGGCCGCTTCGCGTTGAAGGAGCACGTCCTCAGCAACGTTCCCCGCCCCTACGATCCGGCATGGTCGCGCATGGACTGTGTCGTCCTGTCCTGGATCTTCAACACCATCTCCGCCGACCTCCTGGACGTCATCCACGAGCACGACGCCCCTTGCCGGGAGGCCTGGCTCGGACTTGAGCAACAGTTCCTCAACAACCGCGAATCTCGCGCCATGCTCCTCGACTCCGAGTTTCGCACCCTCTGTCAAGGTGCCCTCTCCGTCGACGACTTCATCGCAAGAAGATGAAAAGCATGGCGATGCCCCGCCGATCTCGGCGAGCCTGCCTCTGGACCGTACTTTGGTGCTCAACGTTCATGGGACTCAATGAACGGTTTCGATTCATGTCCCAACTCATCACCCGCCAGAAGCCGCCCCACCCTTCGCCGACGTCCGTCTTGATCTCCGGTTGGTTGAGCTCAACATGGGGGCGCCTTCCCCCTCGCCGGCCCCTCTGCGCATTGCCGCCTCCACCAAAGCGCCCACCCCGACGTCCACCAAGCCTCGTCCTCAGTCATCTTCTTTGACAGATCGCCATTGCCGCCGTCTTCAAAGAACACCATGGCAGACGCCAGCCCAGCGCCATGCGGCGGCTCGTGGATCTCCGGTAGTCAGCGCAGCAAGACCCTCTCGCCACTCTCCACCGCAGCGGGCTGCCGCTCCTCAATCCGTGGGTCGCTCCATTCACATGTGGCCGTGATCCACCATCGGTGGGGTTCGTGGTCCTCCACGCCGCCCGGCCAGCTCCTCCTCCGCAGCAGGCTCTGATGACCGGGGCACCCCCTGCCTACTTCGCTCCACCACCAGGCTCCGGGACCTACTACCCGCAGGCGTCTCCCGCTTGGGTGCCATGGTCGCCCGAGGGTCTCGCCAGCGCTTTTCAAGACTGGCTCTCACTCCCCCGCCGCCAAGTTCCTCCGACTGGGTGATCGACTCGGGTGCCTTCTCCCATATCACTGCCAACCCTGGTATGGTCACCGCATCACCCTCCTCTTCTTTTCCTTCCTCCATTATCGTGGGCAACGGTGCCACTCTTCCCGTTGTTGGCACCGGCTATTCTGTTCTTCCCGGACCCTTTCGCCTCGATAATGTCCTTGTAGCCCCTGATATCATTAGAAATCTTCTTTCGCTCAAAATTTACTACCGATAATCTCGTTTCACGTCAATTTGACCTCTCTTGGTGTCTCTGTGAAGGATCTCCGCACCTGAACACCCTCCTCGAGATGTAACAAACGACAGGCCCTCTACACCCTACATACCGTCAGTCATCCATCATTGGTCGTGCGCCCTTGTTGCCACTCCTTCTCCGACTACTTGGCACCGGCGCCTTGGGCACCCCGGCAAGGCAACTCTTCAGAACCTCGCTCGAACTTCCTCCATTGTCTGCAGCAAGCCTGAAGACGACTCCCTCTGCCATGCTTGTCAGCTTGGGCGTCATACTCGCCTTCCTTTTGCTACCTCCATGTCTAGAGCATCCAAGAATTTCGATTTAATTCATTGTGACCTGTGGACATCTCCTACTATTAGTGTCTCTGGTTTCAAATATTATTTAGTCATTCTTGATGATTGCTTCCACTTTCGTGGACTTTTCCTCTTCGTGTTAAGTCCGATGCTTTTCCCACTATTTCCCTTTTCTTTGCTCATGTGTCCACACAATTCGGTTGCCTTTGTTAAATCAGGTCCAATGTGACAACGGTCATGAATCGACAACTCGCCTCCTCGCTTTCTTCCTTGCTCACGACACCATTCTTCGCATGTCGTGTCCCTATACTGACAAAGAAAACGGAAAGCCGAAGCGCATGATCCGCACCGTCAATAACATCACCCGCACCTCCTCTTCCGGCTTCCATGCCTCCTGCATCTCTCAATATGCTCTTGCCATCGCCACTTATATTCTCAACCGCCTCCCCACCAAAACTCTAAACATGAGCACCCCTTTCTTCGCCTCCATGGCGGCCTCCCCTCCTATCATGATCTTCGAGCGTTTGGGTGCACCTGCTATCCTAACCTTTCTGCCACCGCTCCCCACAAGCTTGCCCCTCGCTCTACTCTCTGTGCATTCCTTGGCTATCCACCGGATCACAAGGGCTACTGGTGTGCCTTGACCTTGCCACTAACTTGGGTCATCATTTCCCACCACGTTGTCTTCGATGAGACAACGTTTCCTTTTCCCCACAAATGCCCTCCCCCCCCCCTGCAGAATTAGATTTTCTAGCGATTTACGCGCTCTTCCGGTGCCTCCTCTTCTGTGGTACATCCGAGCTGCTGGCCCCGGCCACCACCTCCCTGGCGCGTGCTCCTCCCAGCCTCCCGGTTTTCCCCCTCTACCGTCGACACCTCCGGGGCCTCCGAGGGGGTCCCCTGTTTAGGCGCCCATGTCTCCAGGGCCCTCTGACCAGGCACCCTTCTCCAAAGACAACCGGCCGTGTCCGGTGGGGCACCTGCTCAAACGCTCCCGCACCACTCGTCCCGGCCGTCCATTCACGCTCTCACGGGGCGTGCTTCTCTGTCCCTGCCCGGCTCTCGGCGCCCGGGCTTCTACTCGACGTTCCAAAGATGATCCCGTCTCTACCGCGCTATGTCAAGAGCGACCCTCCGGTCCCTGATGGTGTTGTCTTCATTCCGCCGGTCGCCAACTCCCATAGTATGGCGACCCATGGAAAAACAGGGTACCGGCAGCCTCGTCTCGCCCTGCATGCCGAGGCCCTCTCTCCACTCCCGCGGTCCTGCCGTGATGCTCTTGCTGATCCTCATTGGCGCCGGGCCATGGAAGACGAATATGCAGCACTTCAGGCCAACCACACTTGGGATCTTGTCCCCCGTCCTGCCAAGGCCAATGTGGTTACTGGGAAATGGATCTTCAAACACAAGTTCAATGCTGATGGCTCTTTGGAACGCTACAAGGCTCGTTGGGTGCTTCGGGGCTTCACTCAACGCCCCGGTGTTGATTATGACGAAACTTTCAGTCCGGTTGTCAAGCCAGCCACTGTTCGAACAGTCATCACACTAGCACACTCCAAGGATTGGCCCATTCATCAACTTGATGTAAAGAACGCCTTCCTGCACGGCACACTTTCAGAGACCGTCTACTGCTCTCAGCCTACCGGGTTTGCTGATTCTGCCCTGCCAGAGCATGTCTGCCGGCTCAACAAATCCCTCTACGGCTTAAAGCAAGCCCCGCGGGCCTGGTACAGCCGGTTTGCTTCTTTTTTGATCTCTCTGGGGTTCACTGAAGCCAAGTCCGACACTTCTCTCTTCATATACAGCCACGGTACAGAGACTGTCTACTTGCTCTTATATGTGGACGATATTGTCCTCACAGCTTCATCACAGCAGCTCCTTCACCGTGTCATTGCTGCATTGAAAAAGGAGTTCGCCATGAAGGACCTTGGCCCTCTGCATCACTTCCTTGGCATTTCAGTTCAGCGCCACAGGGATTCAGTCATCCTCTCGCAGCGCCAATACATACTGGACATCCTCGCTCGCCATGGCATGAGCGATTACAAGCCCTGCTCCACCCCAGTTGACACTTGTGCAAAGATACCTGCTGATGCCGGCCCCCCTGTTGCTGACCCCACCAACTACCGCAACCTTGTGGGCGCCCTCCAGTACCTCACTTTCACCAGGCCGGACATTGCTTACGCCGTTCAACAAGTATGCCTTCATATGCATGCTCCATGTGAAGTTCATCTTGTCGCTGCCAAAAGGATTCTTCGCTATCTCCAGGGTTCCCTCGGTCATGGTCTGGTCATCCCCCGCACAGCTCCAACACAGCTTCGTGTGTACACTGACGCTGATTGGGCAGGCTGCCCGGACACCCGCCGCTCCACCTCCGGCTATGCAGTCTTTCTCGGGGACAGCCTGATCTCCTGGTCCTCCAAGCGGCAGCCCACCGTCTCCCGGTCCAGCGCCGAGGCAGAATATCGGGCTGTTGCCAACGGCGTCGCTGAGGTCATTTGGCTGCGGCAGCTGCTCAAGGAGATTCACCATCCCCTGGACTCCGCCTGCCTTGTCTACTGCGACAATGTTAGCGCCATTTACCTCTCCTCCAACCCCGTGCAACATCAGCGCACCAAGCACGTGGAAATCGACCTCCACTTCGTCCGTGAACGGGTCGCCATGGGTGCTGTCCGTGTTCTTCATGTACCCACCACATCGCAGTTCGCCGACGTCTTCACCAAGGGCCTTCCCTCCTCCGTCTTCATGGATTTTCGTTCCAGTCTGAACGTCCGTTCCACCGACGCTCCGACTGCGGGGGGGTGTTAGAATTAATTGCTATTTCGTGTAATCACCTAGTTACTTGTGTAATCTAGCTTCCTGTGCCTGGTTAATACCCAGCTGGCCCCTTGGGTCTCGGTTTGACTCTTGGGGACTCGGCTGACCCCTTGGGCCATCCTCCTCCTCTCTATATATGTAATCCTCCTGTAATCTCCATCATTAAGCAATCTAAGCCTGTTAGGCTATTGTTTATCACCATCTATCTCTTAGCTGAAATAAGCAAGTAGTAGAGATTCCTGCTCATTTCAATAGTCCAATATATAGTTGCTTGCTTTTCTCTCCTCGAACATGCACATAAGCTGCATGCCGTTGCATTATAGAAAAGATAATAATAATACTAGGCTAGTTCAACTGCCTGCCACCACACATGACACACACGGACTTAGAACAAGCACACCACAAGTAACTGCCTGCCAGGCTGGAAACTATGAAGAGAACCCCAACATGTGTTGCTTGTATGACAGGATGTTGATGTATTTGGTCAGAACTAGCAATTGTCTGTTTTGTGAGCTATACTGGTATCATAGGGTCAAATCTACAGAACTGTTAATATAATAGTATTCTCTTATTTAGTTTATTTGACATGGACACAAGTGGGACTGATGTGATGTTTGTAAAGTTGCTAGAGAAAGTTCAAGGATCCCTTCAATCGGCTGAAGATAAGAGGATGGCAATAGTTTCAGAGCTCACTGCTAAGCATCAGAAGGTAAGAGAAAAATCCAGGAATGAAATTTGGAGAGAATGATTTCACAAAAAGCATTAAGGTGATCTAACTTCGCTTCTTTTTTGTCCTCAGCAAATAGAAAGCTTGCAGGCGCAGCTAGCTGAAGTTTCTGCAGAAAGGACGAAGGCATCTGAAACCATACAGTCTCTACAGGTGACTCCAGTGTATAGCATCATAATATTATCATGAAACTATAATTTCCAGGTAGTATTTAGCTGTGTTAGTCTATTAGGTTAATGCTTTTAAACATTACCATTTTCTGTTGTGCTTTACTGATAGCGAAGTAGTGACTAGTGAGTAGCTGAACAGGACTGATCTCAGTATGCTGGGGAAAAAAATGGTGAATTAGAGTAAGCAATCATATTTACCTTCAATGTTTGCATATAATTATACTTTTGCAGGTGGTATTAACGGAGAAAGACTCAAAAATAGCTGAAATCGAAGCAGCATCAACAGGTGAAGCTGCCCGGCTTAGAGCTGCTTTGGAGGAGGTTAAAGGGGAGCTTGCTCATCTAAAGGATGAACATGTATGTTTCTCTATTCTGTACTGAAACATGCCATTGCTGTACAAAGCTGAGCATACCTTGTCATAGATGCCAAATCCAAACTGGCAGACATATGAGCAGCTCTAGTTCTAAACTTCTAATGCTGATTAATTTTATATAAACTATGATAATCTGAAATTGATGAGATTAGTGCGTGCTGAGGATGGCATAATCGCACAAGAAATGCTGAATGAAGTGATCTTGTGTGACTTAGAAACACGGCCCATTATTCAGAGCGGACAAAATATACGGACATTTTTAGTAGATGGCGGTAGCCTTATAAGTTTAAAAAGATTGAAACTGCTTGTAGACCTGACTTGAATTTAATTTAGTCTTGCTTCTGTTTGGTCAGAAGATCATTTATGATGTATGTGGGAACTAAGTAGAATTCGTCTAACTTCTACAATTACTCAGGAAAAAGAAAGGCAAAGCTGGGAGGCTACTTGTGAATCTCTTAGGTCAAAGCTGGAAGCATCAGAAAATGCATGCCTTAGATCTGAAAAAGAATCCGCCAAAGTTAAAAGTAAGTCTTTCAATACTTACTATTTTGATTTTGGTGCAAAATGGTTAAATCTATAAACCTGTTTGGATATTCTGCAGGTCAATTGGAATTAGAGTTGTCAGCACGAAATCAATTGTTACAAACCAAAGATTCTGATCTAACGGCTGCAAAACATGAGGTATATTGGTATGATGAGCTAAAGCTTAGTGAATATGAAGCAAAGTGAACTTGCCCTGATATTTTTATGGCAAGTTTTGCATGACCCATATATGTCTAGGCCCTGCACAGCTGGAAGAGTTCATGTTGTTCATTCCTTAGTGCCACTTTTTAAGGTCTTGTTCCTTCCTTGTTGTACACAATATCAATTAAAAGATAGGAAAACCTTCTTCCGTTCTTATATTGTAGTCTGTCTCCAGTGTAGAAGTTGTATTGGGCGTTGAAGCTGCACATTTATTCTATTACGCTACAGTTATGTATTCATGTTTCTCATGTGGCATGTTTTTAGTTAAGTGACAGAAAACAATGCTATGTCATGCATATCTTTGCATCATTGCATGCACATTTGGTTTTCTGGGGTTTAACATCTTGGTCTTCTGTGTGGAGGGTTGGCATAGGGGACTCTAGAGTTCAGAGGCTGGATGAAATAATAGATGGCTTCTCCTTAACAGCAGTGAAACTTTATTAACATTTGGAGTTAGAGAAGGGGACACTAGATTACATAATAGATGTCTTGTCCTTAACAGCAGCGAAACTTTATTAACATTTGGAGTTAGAGAACTCACTTGTGAGAGACCTGGCTTGGCACACAGATGCTTATTTTTAAGCCTGAAAGGTACGTTTAAATGGTTTTGAATCAGTTCATGGGGGAGGCCTAATGCTAAGGACAAGTTTTCATCGATTTTTTTCAAATATAAATAGGGCATGTGCTGCAGCTGATAGTTGTATAAAAAATTAAAAAGAACTTCAAATTAAGCCTTTTGTACTTTGCAGATTAGTCGACTGGAAAGTGAATTTTCTGCATACAAGGTCCGGGCACATGCACTTCTGCAAAAGAAGGATGCTGAGCTTACTGCAGCTAAAAGTTCAGATTTGATTAAAGAACATGAAGAGGCCATAAGGGTAATGCCATTCTTTTATCTAGTTATCTGATGTAACCAAAGATTTTGACTGATTTGATTGTTTGCTATCGCTTTTAATCAAGGAAGCTGAAAAGGAGGTGGCAGCCGCTTTAGCAGAAAGAGATAAAGCAATCGATGATCTCCAAAAAGCACAATCCAGACATGGTGATGAAATTGAGGCAAGGTGGGGCCACTAAACCTTCTGCTCAGCAAAATTAAATCTTACAGGCTTCCATCAGTGCTTGATGTGCTTCATGTGAACCTTCATAAAGGAGATTATAGTCTCCAACTTAGTTTGTTAAATATGCTATCTGCAGCAGTTGCAGTTCTTTAAACTTTAACTATGCTTGGAGGTCACTAGCAAATGTAGTACGCATTTTATCAAGCCAGCAACACTAGGCATGTTATTAGTGTTGTACTGGAGTTGTTAACTTACTGTTGTTCGCAACGCTAATCCTGTTAGTTGATGTGTTATGTGTTATTCCATCAACATTTTCCGTTTGAGTTTTTATTGTTTACCAAGTATTCACTATTTATTTTTCATTCAGAGATAAGGCTCTTGCTGATGCTGAGAAAAAGCTAAAGGATGTAATGAAGAAGTTAGATTCTGTTACTTCTAATTTCATCTCAGAAAAAGAATCCTGGGAGAAAAACTTGGCGAATGTAGAGGAAAGCTGGAGATGTAAGATGCTGAATCTATTTACTTTAGAAATCTCTCGTTTCTTTTGATGGGAACCAATGACAAAAATTATGAATGCCAATGGTGCAGTGAAATGTGAGTCTTTGAAGGCTCAGAGCAATGGCCATGTTGCCGATGAACTTCAAAAGAATTTAGGAGAGTTGACACTAAAATATGAGAAACTGAAGGTTTCTTCCTGGACATCACTCATGTTATCTGCATGCCTTATTATGTCTTCGATCCAGTATTTTAATATATGTGTTTTTTCAGGAAGAGCATCAATCATTCCGTGATATTGCTGATAGAATGATTGAAGACAAGGAACGAGAGATAGCTAAACTCCTCAAAGAAAACAGGGACCTTCACCAGTCTTTAGATTTTAGACCAGCAGTAAGTTGTGTTTCCCTTAAGTCACTTATTGCTACCTTTGTTACCTATAGAGAAGCAGCGGTGGAAGAACCATATCGGAACCGTGTCGATGTCCAGATGTGGTCAAAGCACTTAGGGCCTGTTTGGATGTTGTAGTTTAGAAAAAATGTGGTTCAAGAAACTAGAGTTTTAGAAATCAGCGAGACAGTATCATATGGTTAGAAAAAAGGGGTCAGGAGTGGATTTTCTAAACTACAAAGCACCACCTTTTAAGCAATACTATGGTTTTAAAACTAAGAGATGCCGCCACCCCACCCCCCCCCCACCACCACCACCACACACACACACACATACACGCACACACAAAAAAAAAAAAAACTGTAGAGCTGCATTATTTTTTAAAAACTCTCGCATCAAATTAAGGCTTTACTAACTACGCCCACCATTCCTTGTGATACTTTGTATTCTACAAAATTTAAAATAGGACCTATTATTTTGAGATTTTGTTGATGATATTATTGCATTGATGTCACAGGTTAGCAACAATGATTATCAAAGTCAAGGTAATTTATTATTATTTGTATCATGTTTCATTCTCCATCTCCAATCTTGCCTGTATTCTCCCTCAGTTAAATGGCTGTAGTTTTTTCCACTAATAATTATCATTGCCTTGTATTTGCAGGACCTGTTAAGGATTCAATGAGTGTTGAATTGGCTGAGCAACAAATTTTGGTACTTACCCATTCCCCTGAAAAATGAACTAGTAAATGCATATTAAATGTTGCAATTGGGATTGATTGGTATTGTATCAACGGTGTTAGTCTAAAATAGGACTTTTACCCTGTATTTTGCACCTTTCTATGGCTGATTTGGTTGAGATAGTGCTTTGATGTTGGACCAAAACTTTAACTATTCATTCAAACTAGAACACCTTGGTGCTTAGTGATACGCTGGCAGAGTGCATTTTCTTAGATGAGAGATTATTAACTTATACTCCATGCCTACATTTTCAGCTTCTCGCATGGCAACAAGCCAAAAATTTCAACTATTTATTCAAACTAGAGAACTTTGGTGCTTAGTGATACTCTGTCAGAATAAATTTGCTTAGATGAGAAAGATTATGAACTTATACTGCATCCCTACATTTTCAGCTTCTCGCACGACAACAAGCACAACGAGAAGAGGAATTGGCTCAGTCACAGAGGCATATCTTAGCGCTTCAAGTATGTTATCAACTTAGCAGGCGTTCTTCACATTCTTTCCAGTTTGGGTGTCAAGTGAATAAGCTTTTGTTTTCCTTTCTTTTCTTCAGCAAGAAATTGAAGAGCTCGAGCGTGAAAATTGTCTCCATGATCAACAGGTGGGTCATTTGAGGTTTGAGTTCTCCATAGTCAATACTTTTTTTTTTGGTTGCATACCTCTGATTAGTTGTGCGAAGTGATCTGGCCATTCTGCATCTGATCCTTCTAGTTATGGAATGTCAACTAGGATTAAATTTGATTTCCCCTTTACCAAGATTTCTTCAATATGAAGCACCATACCATCTAAAGAGTATCTGTGTTACATGTCATCGCAATTTCCTCTTATTATTCCTGGAACCTGAAGTAGCTTTTATTTAGCTAATTGTGTTCACTATTGATACCGAAGTCATGTTTTTTGCCATGTATAAACTATTTGGATATTTGGCCTTGTTGTTGCTACTGCATCGAGAGAAAAAATTATACAATGTTTAAGAAGTTGGAACACAGCATTGGGACCGAATGGTGTTCTAGAAGCTTATTGATCCTTAGGCCATAGCTCTGGAATATCACTGGCTTTCTGGAATTCCAGGTGCTGCAGATCTAGTGAGTTTTACACGAGGCAATGATAGTGTAAAGTAAGCATGTGCACGTTAGTGTTCACTCATTTATTACCGAAGGGGTAGTTTTTTAACTTGTTTAATAAACCTATAAACATATCTTCTAGTTATTTGCCACATTAAAAAGAAGCTGGATTATGTAGATAAGAGTTTGCAGAATTCACCTTAGTGTGCTCTAGAATTCCAGATATTTAGTTGTAGAAGACATAAAGATCTGTCCCAAAAAAAAGAAGACATAAAGATCAAGTTGAGATGTTGGTTTGACCCCCTTATTTCACTGTAGATCTTAACAACAACAGCTTCTGTGTGTAATGTCAGTTTATTTTGGTCTTTTATGTTTTGAGTTACTGATGTTAATCTTTTTATCTGTATTATTTCTGGTGTTTGTAATCTTGCATACTTAAAATATATTTTGTTTTGTGTCATGATTAAACTAGAAAATGAGTTATTGATTCATTGGTTTGAGTTTTTATATATCTTGTTTTTGCTAGGAGGCTTCATATCGGCATGCCTTATTTTGTCTGATTTTATTATAGGAAGCAATGTTGAAAACCGAGCTTCGGAATATGGAGAGATCACAAAAGCGAGAAGGAATAGATATGACATATCTCAAAAATGTGATTCTAAAGCTTCTTGAAACAGGTAATTGGAACTTTTTATTCTCTCTAGTTGCTGCAGACTGACAGATGATATAATATTATCAGTTGGAACAAATCCATTTTGTCTCCTTAACTCTTGCGTTTGTCTAATTTTGACCTCCAACCACAAAACCGGCTAAATTTGGCACCTTAACTACCAATACCGGGTCAATTTTGGCCCCTCTGTCTGGTTTTGGTGGATTTCCGTGGCTTGGGCCCATCTATCAGCATGGGCCCACATGCAAGATGTTGTGTTGCCTCCTCTCGATGTCCACGGCACTGCGCTTGACCGCACTAAAGGAGGCATGCGCTCAGAGTCTTCACTCCCTTTTATCTTCTGCTGACCCTCCACCACAGCCCCCTCCCTCCCCCATATCTCTCGTCCAGTGCACGGCGAGATTGGCCTCACAGCTGCCCCCATGGCTGACAGTGCTCCATGGCATGGCGGTGCCCTTTCTCCCTCCATATCTCCTGTGACGAGCAAGGGATGGTCTATGGCTGCACATGGGTATGAGGCGACAGGGTGGTCTGCACACAGCAGATGCGAGTGCAGCGGCTGCAGCAGCACAAAAGTGAGCACATTAGACACAGCTATGGGATGGTGGTGTTGGGAGAGGGAGGCATGGAGGGAGAGATGGAGCATATGACAGGTGGGGGTTCAAGCTACTTGAAAACCACCAAAACTAGACCGAGGGGTCAAATCTGAACAGTATTAATGGTTGATGTGCCAAATTTACCTGGTTTTGTAGTTGGGGGTTAAATTAGATAAACGTAAGAGTTGGGCCAAAACTGTACTTGTTCCTTATCAATTTGATTTTTTTTTGGCACAGGGGAAGTGGGGGCGTTGTTACCTGTGGTTGGGACGTTACTACAGTTTAGTCCTGACGAGGTAAACTCGGTATATTCTCATGGAAGTTTATTCTTGCTGCTGATGCAGTGCCGCTTGCTTTTATGTAGCTTCTTAGTTCTGATATGGTTGTTTTTTCATGATTATGATATACTACATAAAGGATTCTAGTTCTATTCTACTAAGTTAATCTCAGGTACTGTAAGGGTTAGAAAAGACATGAAATACTAAAATAAAGTCATGCAACATGTTTCCATAACATATCATCAATACTATGTTAAATATCCTTTGATAACTACAATGTTTTTCTTTCTAACGTGAGAGCTTAGATCCCATTTGCTGCACTGAATGGTCTGTTTAATTGATTCTATGTGCTTGCTGGGCTCATTTATGGGTATATAAAGCTAGAGATCCCATACTATAGTTGATTTGGCTGGTTTTATTCACGAACCAGAATCTGTTCTGCCATTGTATTTATAATAAAGCGTCATAACGGTTAGAAGTAGTGAAATTATGGGCTAGACCTTTATCTCGTATTTTTTATGACTTTGGGAATGCTCAACCCATAGTTGGCTGCTGACATTAAGATTTTTATACTGAATCTAACTCATTAAAGCATACCTAACCTTCCTTTTTATCAGTGGTGGTGGGGATGCTGAACACTCCTTTTAAAAAATATTTATGTATTCAGTTTGTGAAAGAAAAATCTTGTTAGGGCAAGCTACGGCTACGACCATTGTACCCATGATGTTGGAAAATGCATACTAATCGCCAGTTTAATCATTTTGAATGTGAGTTTGACGCTTCCTTGTTTGAAACCTGGCAGCTCAAGAAGTGCCAGCAAGGTGTCCTTTCAAGTGTGGCTTCTTCACAAGCTGCTGCAGTGTCAGATGGCACAACCACACCGAATTCATTCTTTGCAAGATTCTCATTCTAACGGAGGTTTAAGGCTTTGCTCTTGAAGATCTGCAGTCTAGCTGGGGGAGAGGATGTCCTGAGCCTTCAGATTCACAGTTTTGCTGATTGTAGGGAACGTTTATTCATTTATTATTTACAGGCGTCCATTCCCCTTCTCCTTTTGTAAAAGTAGTGTATATAGATGTATAACCAACCACATGGCCCACAGCAGACTCAAGATAAAATGTAATGTATGATATATTGTGCTACTGACATATATAGCAGCTCATGTTAGGTCGTCGAATGTCGAGGGGAATGGTTTATAGACTGTTGTATAATTTTTATTGAATATTCTGAGGATTCAGGAACCATTTTCCACTTTGAACTGTTGAGTTTTGTCTCCTCCTTACGCGAAGTCAAGAATTAATCAGAGGCACAGGTGGTCTTGTTTGATTCAACCTTGCACATTCTATGGCAATGCACAAGGTACGTTTCAAAACCAAAAGTTGAGGGAAAAAAGAGGAAAAAGAAGAAAATTCCAAACGCTTTGGGTTCTTTCCTCAGGTGAGCTCCTAGTCATTTCTATGTAACTTTTTTTTAAAGAAATATAAGTGGACCTTCGCCAGTCAAGCCTTGTACTTGGGTGGCGAGTTTGTTGGATTTGGCTCTAGTCCCTTTTTTGAAACAAAAATAAAAAAAAAACATACAAAACAATATAGAAAAGGCATTTCTTTGAACACATGAATATGTGTAAATACAAGAAATGTTCTCCATCACAACAAACCATGGCATTAATCTGCAACGGCAAAATGGCTGATTTATGGATCCTCCAACTCATTTCCTCCTCATAATCATAATAACACACAATTGCTACCTGCTACTACTAGACATTGGCCAAGGGAGATTTGAGGAAATCACTGAATGCAAAAATATACGTTGGCGATTATATACCATAAATAACCGCGGTGGCGCCCACCATCATCAAACACCCTAATCGCCGTGATTATCATGCCATAAACAGCGCGCGACTCTGCACATATCGGAAGGCCCCAAAGGGCAGCGAGAACATGCAGGGCCGTGGGCCGAGCCGAGCCGTGACAAATTTTTTCAAAAGGGCGGTTGGAAGACGCAAGACGACCGTTGGAAGAGCCACGCCTCCGCCTCCGCTTCAAAAGCCTCCTCGCCTCCCCTCGTCTTCCAAACCCGAGAGAAAAGAAAAGGACCGGAGGCCATCTCCCGGCCAGCCGACCGACCAACCGACCCATGGACCGCCGTCCGCCGCTCGCCGTGTCCCCGCGCCGCCTCCGGCCGCGCCCGCACCGGGTGCCCCGCCCGCCCCTCGCGCCGGCCTCCTCCGTGCAAACGCCTCCAGGTACGACCGCCGGCTGATCCCCCATCCCTCCCCCTTCGTGCGCCGATTCAGTTTTCCCCATCCGACGCGTGCGCCGATTCAGTTTTTCCCATAAGACGCGTGCTCCTCTCAACTCTGCAGGATCGATGAAGAAGGCGGTGGCCCCGATGCGCGCGTCCGTCTGCGCAATCCCGTCGCCGGTCCGCTTCGAGCCCAGCCCGATGCGCGCCTCCATCTCCGCCCTCCCGTCGCCGATCCGCGCGGATCCGAGCCCGATGCGCGCGAGCATGACCTCCGCGCTCCAGCCCCAAAGGCGCGTCAAGCTCGACCTGCCCCCGGCGAGGCGTGGCGGCGGCGGCCGAGAAGGAGAACTTCCTCCCCGCCTCGCCGCCGCCGGCGAGGGCGGGTTTCGAGAAGGAGAACCTCCTCCCGGCCGGCGCAGACGCCCACGACGAGCTGGTGGCGCTCAACCTCGCTGCGATAGCCGCGGGCACGCCGGCTGGCGGCCCGCTCTTCGTGCGCGGCAGGCTCTACGACGCCTACTCGGCGCGTCGCAACGAGCGGCTCAAGCGCAAGCAGGGCTTTCCCCTACTACTGGGAGGAGTTCGCGCCCGCGGCCTCGGTGGACCCCGAGACGATGGCCGAGGACCCCTGTGTCGCCGTCGAGCTGTCTAAGCGCCGCGTCGCCAAGAAGGCCTACACCGCCAGCGGCGCCGAGTCCGTGAGGAGGTCTATGCCAGCTGTCGACTTCGCGGCGGGCCGCAGTGGAGGCCTGGGGCCGAGGTCCTCCCTCAGGAGCAGCAAGGAGATGAAGAAGGCTTCCGCCGCGTCTGGCGCGGTTTCCGTGGCCATCAAGGAGAGGAGGGTCAACCCCAGGTCGTCGGCTCGCCGGTTCTGAGGGCTGGAGCAGTTTTCTGAATTTGGTGGTCGGAATTAAGTGGGTTCAATCATATGTCTGATCTAACATTTTGCATATATCTTGCATTCTTGTGGGCAGTTTTCTGATTCTGAATTTGGTGTTCAGAATTATTATCATGTTCTTCTGTGGTTCACAATTTCACAGTACTAGTGAAGCATGCTTGACTGCTTGTCAATTGGCATACTCCTAAAATTTGTGCTGAATAGGTGGGATGAACTCTATTGGCAAATTCAGAGCCTTGCTGTGTGCTTCCAATTGTGATATGTTGTTAGTTTGATGCAACATTGTTTGTTGATGCTCTTCAGAATACTATTCTTCATAATTTGTGTGGTCCACTAGCCACAATTCCAGATCGATCAGTCTTTCACACCTCTCAATTATTGTCAAAACTGGCAGCAATGATCCTATAGCTAATCTGGTCCTGGAGGATGAAAAATAAGTTGAATCGCCTCTTCTGAACTTTTGCACTGTTTTTTGTTTGTTTGCTTGGGTTCACATTTCTTGGGCAATTTTATGAGTTGTGGCCACATATTCTGAAACTAAAGTGGTGTATGAGGCATGAATCCGGAAGCAGTCAGCGTGATTTCACAATTTACTGATCTGATTCTGAACTGACACATCACAGATCAGGCCTTCCCAAAAACAACACCCTGTACTGGTTGTAGAAGCTGCACACCTGGTGCTCAACATATCCATATCCATTCAACCCGAAGAAGATACTAATTCCAGATTGTTAGATCTAGATGTACCTCTCATTACTCGAAGGATATGTCTGTTGTTTTCGACAGGAGCAACAATAGGAAATTAAAATGAGGAGGCACTAGTTAGTTAATTAATACAGTACATGTAGCATAGTACTACTACTAGAACACAATCAACACGTTGCTGCAGCTCCTGCAAGCTTCCTGAGTAACCTGCTGGCCGCCTCAAGCCCATCCCCAGCCTCCTCACCACTGCTACTTGCGGCATTGTCATTTCACTTCCCTTCATCTTCTTCTTCTTCGTCGTCGTCGTCGTCGTCCGGGAAGCAGTATGCAGGTGCCTGCCACTGCGCGTCCTCCAGCTCCACTCCGGGCTCGAAGCTCATCACGAACTGCTGGATCCCCGTCACTGCAGATCAGTATAAGGTGCCATGCGATTTCGATTGTCAGTTAGGGAATGCCAGGCGCTGAGGCGCAGGTGCTCCTGAACGGCTGAACAACAATGGGCTGAACTGATGTTCATGGCAATCAAATGAAGCCTAGAAATTGTTACAGTACCATCGACGAAGTCCCAGCGCACGGGTCGCCCCGTGCGTGCCTACTCGTAGTAGAAGATGAAGCCGGCCTTGCCCCACACGTGGCAGTCGATCCCGCCGGCGGCGCGGCGGCCCAGGTACTCGGCGCCGCCGCCGGAGAGCCACCATGGCGGCAGCACGCCGACGGGGAACTGCTCGACGCGGCACGCCGAGGAGTCGAAGTAGAAGGTGGTGCGGTTGTTCCACTCCACGTCGTAGAGCGGGTCGGGCGACAGCTGGTGGCGCACCAGGTTCAGGTTCCGCCGCCACGGCCAGTCGTAGTAGAGGTCCGTGATGCGCAGCGGCGGGCCCGTGGAGGCGTCCGAGTAGTTGGTCAGGTTCGTGAACAGCACCGCGTGGAAACGCTCCGGCCACGGCGTCGGCGACGGGGGCGGGTCGGAGTCGGACCGGTGCTTATGCTCTGCCGTCGTGGTCGTCGCCGTGGCCGTGGTCGCCGCGAGCAGGAGGAGGAGGAGGAGCGGCGGGGACCATCGGGCGGCGGGCGCCATGTCGCGCGAGCTGGGGACGGCAGTAGGGAGCGGCCAGCTGCCAGCGGAGCGCGCCTTATCTCTGTTGTGTGCTCGTGTCGGCTGCTGGTGGTCAGTGGCTGCCAAATCAAGTGACCACAGGGAATTGAAATTTTCCTTTTTTTTTTAAAAAAAATATGGAGAACAGAACTCCTTTCGTCACGTGTTTCCTGACAAATCGCCGGACACCAACGAAGCTATGATAAATAGAACATTCGGAGAAGTCAGAATGTATAAAAAGTTGTCATCTCCCTCAACAGATTTGGAAGCACAGACCCTTGAAACAAGCGGTTGCTTCAGCATGCCGAGACTGCTCCTGCGGCTACTACCATGCCGACACGACTTCTAATGATAAAACCCCACCGAGCTTTATGCCTTTATTTTTTTTTTCCACACGAGATAATCCCATTTCCATTAGCCAAGCAACGGAAATACAAAGAGTTTGATACAGAAGATAAAAGATTGGCATCACACGTGCCACACCTAACCATCACCTAAGCCGCTAAGCGTAACCTGACAAAACGACAACCAAACCAACTTCGGCTACAACGAGTGATTAAAAAACCTTACAGACCAACTTCCGAAGAACCAACCAGATAGACGAAAACAGGACAAACTAACACAGATAACAGAAGTTCTCAGCAGACAGGCCAGAAAGCTTTTCATGGTGAATCTTCACTATCTTCATGCTGCTCATCACAGTCCATCAGTTGCCCAGGTGCGGTACTCCTTTGCTGATCCGCTAAAATCTCCTTTGCAATCTTCAGCATGGTGGCGACCCCTTCCTCCAATTGTTCTTTGTCGGCAGTAGCAAAGAGACCTGTCCAGAAGTTCATAAGGGCACAGGCATGGCAAAAGATTTCGAGTGGGTTTTTGATCAACTTTCCTTCAAACCATGCTTTATTTCGATTCTTCCAAATGGCCCAGCAAATAGCCGCGACACCACAAGGATGATATTTCTTACCATATGGCAGCCATGTTTCACACCACTTCCAACATTGGGTCAAATTAGCAGGAATATTGTTAGCACCAATGCTTATAGCTACTATGGACCAAATGACCTTGGCAGTAGGACATTGAAAGAACAAATGTGTCAAATTTTCCTCAGAATCACAAAACCTGCATTTCGAATCACCTACCCACTTTCTTTTGATTAAGTTGTCTTTTGTCAAAATTGCATCATTGGACATTAACCACAAAAGATTTTGATTTTAGGAGGGATCTTACCTTTCCAAATTCTTTTTGATAGATGCCTGAATCATTTTTAGTCAATTCATCATATAATGATTTAACAGAAAACTTCCCATTCTTCTCAAATTTCCAGGTAATGATGTCTTGATCACTGGATAAAGCAAACTCAACAGTGTCATTCCAAATTTTGTCCCACATAGCAGCCAAATCCCCATGCAGCCATCTACTGAACTGCATAACAACCTCTTCCCTCTTAACCTTTGCAACACTAACAAGCTTATTCTCACTGAGTTTATACAAAATAGGAGCAATGTCCTTTAAAGGTTTATCATATAACCATGGATCTGACCAGAATCTAACATTCTCACCATTCTTAATGATAACAGTTCTCCCTTGCAAATAGAAATCTTTAATTTTGAGCAAATCATACCACATTTGTGAATCATTAAGCTTGTGACCAACTTCGTGAATAGAACTGTGTTTCAGATATTTGTACTTAATGATCTCTTGCCACTATTAAATTGCATGCACCGACCAATCCAACCCAAAAGCTTAAGCTGATGAGGAGAGGTGGGCAATTCACTTATATTCCAATACCCCCCCTCACGTAGAGGCTCCCTCAGGCCTCAGACGTGGAATAGGAGCGAGCAACAATTATATTTTATTTAATTGCACTAACCAGGATTCGAACTCAAGACATTTGGCTTGATACCATATTAAGTTGCATGCACTGACCAATCCAACCCAAAAGCTTAAACTGATGGGGAGAGATGGGCAATTCACTTATATTCCAATAGCCACAAACCATTTTCCTTTTCTAATCTCCACCACCATTTACAAAGCAAGCTTACATTCATTTTCCTCAGATTTTTTATTCCTAAACCTCCCTTCTTTTTACTTTTACAGACTTTCTCCCATTTTACCAAATGATACTTTTTCTTAGTCCCACCTCCCTGCCAGAAAAAAACGTCTTCTAATCTTATCTAAGCACTCAACAGTTGTTTTTGGTAAGAGATAAACCGACATGTGATAAATAGGAGAATTGTTAAGACTGGAATCAATCAAAGTAGCTCTACCCGCTATAGACATGTTGCCACCTTTCCAAACATCTAAGCGTTTATTATTTTTTTCTACCAAAGGTGACCAGTCACAAATGTGTAATCTACTTGGACTTACTGGAACACCGAGGTATTTGATTGGAAAAGATCCTATCTGACAGTTAAAAATCTCTGCATATGTCTGGCCCCAACTCTCCTCATCATTTATCATTAAAACTTCACTTTTATTGAAATTAATCTTAAGCCCAGCCATCATCTCATAGAGGTATAAGAGAAATTTCAAATGAGTGGCACCCTGAATGTTATGTTTAAGACATATTATCGTATCATCTGCATACTGTAAAATTGCCACACCTTTTGGAATAATATGGTCAATTAAGCCTACCAACAAACCATTTTGCTGAGCCCTATGTACCATTCTAGTTAAGCAATCAGCAACCATATTGAATAAGATAGGTGACAAGGGATCACCTTGCTTTACTCCCTTGTAGCTCTTGATATAAGGGCCAATGTTGTTGTTGAGCTTGACACTTACTGTCCCACCAGTTACAACCTGCCTAATCCATTGGCACCAAAGATCTCTGAAACCCCTTTTTTCCAAACAGTCAAAAAGTAACTTCCAATTCACTTTGTCATAAGCCTTTTCGAAATCAAGTTTCAACACCATTCCTACCTCTTTTCTTCTTTTTGTTTCATGCAGGATTTCATGTAGACAAAGAATACCAGTCATGATATTTCTCCCCTTCATAAAAGCTGTTTGTGTGTTATGAATTAACTTATCAGCCACCTGCTCCATTCTTATAGTTAAAGTTTTGGTAACTAGTTTATACAAACAATTCAGTAAGCAAATGGGGTCTAAATTGCTGAATCTTACTTGCTTCTTTTATCTTTGGCAAAAGAGTGATGATTCCATAATTGATCCTGCTAATGTCAACTTTAAGGTTGTGAAAATCATCAAAAAACTGTAAAATATCAGCCTTGACTATGTTCCAACCCCATCGCCTAGAACTGTAAATCTTACTCGCTTTGATGTCTGGGCTCTACGGGTTTTAGCAAGAGTTGATAGTCCAGAACCCCATCGCCCCCGCGTCGCTCCCCTACGCGGGCGACACGGGCGGCCGCGCCCTCCCAAACCCTAGCAGCCGCCCCTTCCCTCCCCTCCCCCTGCCACGCCGCCGTCGGAGCTGGCCGCCGGCATGGCCACGTGGCTCGCCGGGATGGCGGTGGCGGGGCTCCCCCTCTCCTCGCGATTTGGTGGCGCAGGTGACAGCGGGACGGCGGCTCTCCTCCCGCACGGGCTGCGTGGAGCCCGGCGGGGGCGTCCGCCGCGGCTGTTGGCGGCGCCGGCTGGTGTCCGGCTGGCGCGTGGGGACGGCGGCGGATCACTTTCTCCCTCGCCCGTCCCTTCCTCCAGGCTTGGCGGAGGCGGCGGCGTTGGTTCGGGATCGCTGGATCCGATCTGGCGGGCCGATCCGGTGTCCATCTTGGCCGGATTCGAGCTCCGCACTGGATCCGGCACTCTCTCGAAATTTGGGAGGGCGGGCGGTGGCTGCAAAAGCGGCGGGCGGCGGCAACAAAGAAGGTGTCGGCACCGGTGCTCTATTGCCGGTTCGACGCCATCGGCAGGGGCGGCGCCATGAGGGGTGGGGCACGTCGCGTCGTCGGCGATGCGCCAAGCCGCCGACGACGATGGCCGGCCGAGGCGTTAGTCGTCTGGCGGTGTTTCGCGAGCAATGGAGTCAGTCCGCTCCGCGTTGCCCGGCCGGAGGGGGTGACGGCCGACGCAGCGCAATTTGCGGCGGCCGCGTCGCGTGCGGCCGGCGTCGAGGCCCCTCTGAAGGGGTTATTGTGGAGCGGCGGGACAACGGCGATGGCGATGATGGATGGCAAGGGCCTTGCTTCTTGGGGCGACGTTCGTGCTTGAGGACTCCTTAGGCGAAAGCCTAGCGACGGCGACACTGTGGGTGCCGCTTTCCCCTGTTGAGGCGCCGTGTATTCCCCTCTAGCACTATCATCCAAGGGTGAAAGCCCGTCCACTTTGGACGTCGCGGCGGTGGCGCCATCAGCGTTGCTACCTTCCTGAAGGCGTCGCGTTTGGATTTCGTCGTGGCCTCGATGTCTCCTCGGTGATTGTTCTTCGCTTCTTGGCGCCTCGTTGACACGTGGAGGCGGGTCTTGCTGCGAGAAGTCGAAGCTGCTGCGTCAGGGACGTGGCTCGGCAACGATGACACGCGGCGAGCCCCCACCTTCATCGTAGGCTAGGGTCTGCTAGGGGTCGGCAAACGCTGGAGGCGAGGCGTGTGGCCGTGATTGGAAGTCGGAGCTGCTCTTTGCGGGGTGCTTGAGCTTGGCAACGATGACCGGTTGCGGCCGCTTGCTTCGGGCTCGTTGGTGGGTGGCTTGTGTGTGGACTGCCATGAGAAGTCGGAGCTGCTGGCGTCTTCAGCCATGCTCGGCAACGATGACCCATGGTAGTGTGCCGTGTTAGTGCTCAGCTGCGTCGTGTGGGTTGGTTAGCCTATCGGGTGCGCTTTTTGGCATCCTGTTGGCTAGCCCTCTTGTACATAAATTCTTTCTGTCTTGATTGAGCGGCAGAGCTCCTGCCTTTGTTTAAAAAAAAAACTATGTTCCAACAACTTTGGTAAAATTCAATAGGTATTTTATCTGGGCCAGCAGCCTTGTTCTTTTCCATTTGAAATAAGGCAAATTTGATTTCTTCTTCAGAAAAAGGTC